CGTGTGTTCGACGTTGTCCGGTCAACAGTTGGGCCACAAATCTTAAACCGGCCCTCGACGCTACGGTCACGATATTTGCCGGACGGCGGGGGGGCGGGGGGGCGACAGGAGTGAGAAGCAATGTCCCGGCCAGCGATAGGCTCAAAGATATTGCCCGCCTCAAAAGGTGCCCAGAAAGATTATTTTCTTAACTCAGCTGTAATCAATCTTCGAGATAAGTAATGCCAGAAATGGAATCGTCAACCGTACAATAAAACATTTGCAGTTTGTACTGTCCTTGCATGGCTCTCGCCGTCGACGTGTACAGTAGCTGCTGCAATGTCGGGCATATGCGCTGGAGCATGGCTGGCTTGCTGGGACGCTGGCCAGAGTGCCATATCACCGTGCGTCTGCTTACCTCGGCCTGCTCCATACTCGCTCGGAAGTTGGCACGCGCGCCGGCGAACATCCGAATCGTACATTTCAATCAATGACGTAACTGCATTTACAGTAGCGCTGGCCGCGTGGGTGTTATTTGTTTATAAACAATTTAGTCTGACTGACTTCTCTCCTCTCGCCCACTTTCTCTCTCTCTCTTTTTCTTTCTCTTGCCCCCCCTCTCTCTTCCTCCTCTCCGCTTTCTCTTTCTCTTGCAATAGAAAAAAATGTTTGCTGCAAACTGATGTCTACGCAACTTCGTACTCTGCATATATCTGCGCGCATAAACAAAGTGTCACTACGCACGACTTAATGTTACGTTATAACCGTAGCAACAGACCTCAGATGAGCCCAGTCACTCTGCGACTCTTGTTTGCTATTGTATTTTCCGTATTTATATTTATGCAACATATTCCTATAATTTCGAAGGATTTAAACATTATCTATAACAAAATTATCATATAATTTTCCATATATATATACTTTTTTATTTGCATTGCCCACTTTGCATTGTAATTTTTAAATGACGAACTTTTGTAATGATTAATTACGCAATAGATAAGGGACCTGTGATGTATGTGCATGTGTACGTGCAGTGCACGCATATGTATATGGATATGTGGGGATATATATGTAAATATATATATGGCAAAAAATGTTGATGAGCAAGGAAAGCAGCATCTGAGGCTGACACCAGCGTCCGTCGTGGTCCAGAATCACAACACCATCGCGGTTGCATTTGTTCGTGGACGCTGGTTTTAATATTATCTGCTAAACTTGCCGCGTTAGGGTGTCTGCCGCGTTTAGTGTTTCCATGTGTTTTCGTTACTCAGAAGTTTCTATTTCCTGGGCCATGTTTACATTTTATTTTGCTATTGCGGTAATTTTATTATCGTTTGAGAGTGCAAGCGTTAGCGTAGTAAAAACTTCTGATCATGTTTCATATAATCGAACCTCTGCCAACTGCAAGCGCCGTCCTATTTCCCAACCAGCTCTTCCTGTTGGACCATTTCTGCCCCTCCTAATGTCCGCTCGTGTTCCTATCTAAGTCCGAAAACAGCTGAAACTACCATGCTCCTGACTGAATTCTCGGCAACGGATACTGGCACAGCCGTTCATCGCATTGTTTGGACATTTTTAGCTCAACTTGACATGGTCGTCAAGATGAGCTTTTGCCATGGCCGGCATTGCATCCGTTTGACCCACATGCCAGTCTCACGAATGAAAGTTTCTAAACACTGACCTTTCGCGTCCACCAAGCCAGCCAAAATTACTGGACCGGCACCTAAATTGGGTGTACGTGCGCACCAATAATTAGTTTGACGATTTTTGACAATAAAGAACAACAACAGTAATAATCATTTTGTAAATTTTACCCGTATTAATAATGACCTTCTACACACTGCTATGATAAACACGTAGTAATACCATCAAGATATACATCACATGCCTCTACCACTGCAATGATAAACAGTAGAATACGCTATCAAATATTCATCGATTTTTATACCTTCTACCACACTTGCCCTATGCATGACAGGTGTAAGAATACCTATGCACCGTTGGTCTAGCGATGAACAAAGCATTAAACAAAGTCGTTAGCAGTCTTTGTGTTTGAAAAAGGCACAGCGACGCTGAAAATCACACGCCTTCGCTTGCCGACGGTGTGCTCGAAGTCGCTGATTTGCATCGCAGCTGCCCGCAGGTGACGAGGCCAAACTAGGGGCGCCGTTCGGGGCATGGCCCCCCTGGAAAAAAATTGGAAATCTAGACTTCATGAAATGCCATTTGCCAGGCATTTTGCGGATAAAAATTAGCTCGGTGCAGTTTGCCTACTCTTACATTTTACATTTTTAGGCGCATGTTTTTGTTCATCTAACAAAATATCCATTCTTGAAACATATCGAGGATAACTTGAATCACACATTTAGCATGTTTCAGTCAAAAAGGCAACCAACCACTCAATTTTCAAAGCCAGACTATTAAAACTTTAATAGTATTCTGCAAGCATCATAAGTCATTCAGTCACTTGTTTTGCATTTTCGTCAATTTGAGGTATTTCAGTTTCCATTTCAAGAAAACATACATGTTTTTGCAATTAAAACTTGCACTAAAAAACCTTAATTCCAGGCTTTTAATTTTCCATGTCGCTGCATCCTTCAGTCATCAGTCTCGATCTGCTGTAGCAATTGAATACGGGAGTAACAGTCATATTTCATCATGATGCTCGCGTAGATAGGCCTGGGGCACGATTTTGCGTTTTGCGCTTTTTGCCGTTTTGGGTTGGGGCTTCGGGCGCAAAAGCAGTTAACGCAGGCAGTAGCTTTGATGCAGGACGACGTCTGGATGGTGTGTGTTTACGGCGGTTCATGTGTGTAACGCCGAAGATACCAGCCGTCAACGATACGTCAAGCTTTTCGTCGGTGATAAAATAAAGCCCTGAGCTGATGAATTTGATCCTCAAAGCTGCTGTTGTATAAGCTTTACACACTGTCGCTTATAAACATGCTGAACGACTTCGCGGCAAATGCTCCGGTGATGTTTACAATCGTTTGCCATTTATTCGTGGGTCAAGTTTATAAGTTGGATTAATGAAAACAAAACACGAGACGGTGTGGCGTTTTAGTCCATGAGCCAGACCCCCAAATTTCATCAATGGTACCACCTGGGTGGCATAATCTTCACATATTTTTTTGAAAGGCCTATGTCCATAGATGAAAAAAAAACCAGGAGAAGCCGAGACTCACAGTCTTAATGGTAGAAATTGCCCACTTGTATATGGGCCACTCGTGGTGGACCGCGACAGATGCTAATGGTGTGCGCGGTAGGCGAAATATGAAAATTGAATAATTTTGCAAGAGAATGGACACTACAGCTTGACAAATGCACCTCAAAATGTTGTTATTTTGTCTCTACACTTTATTATCCATCATTATTGCAAATCTGTTATGTATGTAGGTCAGCCAGAGCGGTCAAGAGGCATGAAGATTTACCCCTCTTAAAATCGGCGGGACCCCCTGTCAGAAAGCATTCCCCTTTACGCAGTCTTCCGGTCCACCGTCACTCGGTATCGAGTTACCAATGGTATTTGTTAGACTGAGCTGTGTCTATTCTGAGCAAAGAGATGGTAGAAGTGATTAGCAGTAAAAACAAAGTTTGCTTTATTTTTATTTATAGCAATATCGCGTATGAACGGATTTTGCACTATTCTGTATTAAAAATGCCTTATTTGGCCGCTTAAAATAAGGCCAAAAATGATAAAAACTGAAATTCGCTTGAAATTTTACGTTGCGGTGAAGATTTGAAAACTAAACCTTTCCAAATGGCAATAGACATATTCCCTGAGTACAATTTATACTGTTTTTTAATTGAATTTTCCAAATTAATTAGGCCCACAAAGAAGTCTATTCATGCATTTCTTACTCATGTCTGGATTTTAGCGCAAAAGCAGGCCAAGATGTTACAGACACTACATATTTCGAACTCTTTTTACTGAGATCAACTACAGCATACTAACATTAATAAAATCAGCCACCTTTCCCGCGCTCGGGTCCTGCCCAGTTTTGATTGAATGGGGCCCGTGTTACAAGTTCAACCATGGTATGAGATTTTATACCCGTTACCCTATAAAAATGCACTCTGCTTGGGCCTACCTCTGTATCACCAATGTCAAATGTCTCAACTTTAGTCATATCATCATGTCAATAATGAAGTAAAAAGAACTCAGAAGTAGAAAGGTTTTGATTTACAGTCTGTGACTAGGCCTAGTGTCTAGAATTACATACATATACAATTACATATTACATGACAATTACATTACATTAGCACAAGGTGTGCCATGAGCAAGTCTGCGTATACCATGGACTCATGTTCGACAGCGCTCCGTTGGCTTAGCTTATTCATCATGCTGAATCATCATCATATCTCATCGGGTCATCAATGCCATTGAAGTTCTATTACATTCCGTCTTCAGTTGCTTATTTGACATGTCGCAAACTGCAGAGATATGTGCACTTCATGTTGTTCTGGACAGTACCAGACAATTGATACTCAACTGTTGCGAAGTACTCGAGAGGGGAATTGGCCCGGGCAGCTTATCTGCCAGTTCACGACATCGATTCCGTGGTCTTCGCTAGACAAACAGAATTATGCACGTATATGTCAAGCTACTATGCCGCGAGATGTCAAAGCGTCGCGGATGAACATTTCCGGC